TAGAATGAACTTAAGAGAGGCAATGTGCATTTTCAGACTATAAGATGTTCATTTTAAAAAAATCAATGTTCACTTTCTCTTTCAATTAACATAAATTTATGTTTTTGCTTAGTTGCGTAAAATGTTCATTTATATGTTAAAGAATGTTCAATAAAAAGTGCACATGTTATTTTGTACACTTTCGTGTTAGTAAATATTCATTTAATATTTGTATGTATTATGTTTAATGTAATTAGGTACATTGCCAAAATATGTTCAACCATGAAATGTTCATTTTTATCAGTTTAAAAAAAAAAAAAAAGAGTTCATTATTCAAATGAACTAGCCTTGGCTAGTCATGAGACTAGCAAAAAATGTTCATTATTTTTCTAGTAAATATTCAATTTTTTTTTTCTAGTAAATGTTCATTTTTGTTGGAATGGACCAGCCATAGTAAGAAAATGTTCATTTTGTTACAATAAAACTACGTAAGTAAGGAGTATAAGAATAGTATACTACTCAGATATACATACTCCGTACTCATTAGTTGAATGACTTGGATCCACCTCCTATTCTCCTAAAGCTGAAGGACAAGACCTTTATCTAGCCCACTTCATTTTTTCCAACTTAAAATTCGAAGTTAAAAAAAAAAAGTGTAAATCTGGAAAAGCTGAAAAAGCCATCACAGACCAAGTGACACAAGGAGTAGCCACGTGACAAGTGTAAGAAATAGATGTGGTGGCACCCTCTGATTGGACAAAATCTGATAAAATCGTACGGACAAAATGGCCCACAATGTACGGACTATCCAATGAGAGTGAAGGATAAAAATATATTGGGTTTAACCTGATTACTGATTCGTATATATTCTGATGGTAAATTTCGTGCAACACATTAAAATGCCAATCCGAAACCGGCAACCGACAGAACTGTCTCCTGTTTACATCCCAACTTTTCTCTTTCTCTCACCTCTTCACCTGCTTCAATAGGTTGTCAGTAATACAACTCTTTGACTCACTCAAACTTTCATTAACACCATCCCTTTTCATCCCACTGTAAATTACCATTGCAAATGACTTTTTTCAGTACCTTCTTTTTATTTTAAAATTTGGATTTAGATTGTATACCCCATTACCCCTCTCCTATATATTAGGGAACTTTGCCTTTTTTCGTTTTTTAAATACGAGTAATTGGTAAGTATTGTAGTGTTTATCACTTTATTGGTAGGTGTAGAATAGTACTCTCTCCGTTTTTAAATACTTGCTCCAATTCTATTTTTTGCTCTATTCATTTGTCCTACTTTGATTAATGTTTGTGATTTCCGCATAAGAAAAAAATATAGTCTTGTGGGTACTTGTTGGAATCATCACAATGAATAGATTATTAATTTTCAATTATTAGAATTTATACTTATTGATAATTAAAGATATTAGTGATCAAAGATTAGCATCGGCTGCGTGTCCAAGAGAAATGAAGCAAGTATTTATAAATGGAGGGAGTATGACCGAATTAATTTCATTTGAATGCTACATCACCAATCTCTAACTTACTACCTCCGTTACATTATTTGCAACGATTTGACATAAAGTAGAGAGAAAAAATGTCTAATCGTTACAAATAATATGTAACGGAGGTAGTATTTGTTTGTACTAAACGAGTAATGATACTACTTAAAAATGAGATATTACCTTCGATTTTTTTTAGTTGTAGTTTTAGAATATTTTACATCTTACAAATAATACCCCAAAGTTACAACTTAAAAAAAAAAATCAGAGGTAGTATTTGATTACATTTTACCAAAAATAATTGAGCATTGATCATGTTAAGAATATATAATTTAGGTCGTATTATTTCCCACAAACTATTGAGAATAAGGGCTTGTTCACATTTATTTAACTGAGGTGAACTCAACTGAAATGATTTGAGCTAAATTGAACTGAAATGAACTGAACTGAATAGAGCTGAAATGAATATTTTATGAGAGAAGGAAATTAGGAGTAGAACTGAATTGAACTGATTGGAGCTGAACTGAATTAAACTGAACTGAAACTAAGCTGAATTAAGAGACTCTAACTATTTTTGTAAAGCTAATTTCATTGTATATATCCCCCTTTTTTTTTTGGTTCAGGGGGATGGAATAATTGAAATACAATGAGTGATATGCATCATTTTCCAAACATTTGTTTTTGAGGTTATGTTGTACTTTGCATTTGTTTAATTAGCTAGTGTTGTTGAAAATGCTTTCCTAAGTACTTTGTATTTAAGTACAGTAGTATCCAACATACTACCTCCGTTACATATTATTTGCAACGATTTGACATAAAGTAGAGATGAAAAATGTCTAATCGTTGCAAATAATATGTAACGGAGGTAGTAATAGACAAAGTACAAATTAAGTAAAATATTTGCCATTTCCAAATCAAATATAGCCCAATTAGAAGAGTGGTTGGAAAAATTAATTCCATTCTTATTTTGCGGCTATGCTCGTTTAAGAACTTATCCTTAACAATATCACTCAAAAAAAAAAAAAAAAAAAAACAACAACAACAAAAAAATCTTATTTTGTGGCTATGTTCGTTTAAAAACAACTCCTTAACATTATAACTCAATTTTATTTATTTATTTATTTATTTTTATTTTAAAAAAACAATAATTTTTTTCTTTTGAGGGAAAAAAAAAACAACATTGTATAGTTTTATACAGAGTAGATAAAACATGTCAACATAAGTAAATTATTTACACCTTTTGTTTTATTTGAAATTACGGAGTAGTTTAATTATTGAACCCGCCTTGAGTCTCATAGGCTAATATAGCTTAGCCACATTATATTTACTTTGTACAACCACTGTCCCCGAAAGAACGACTCATTTGGCTTATTTGTAGTCCCAAAAAGAATAACCCATTTACATTAAAACACCCACCAATTTGCAACAATATTTGTGCAAAATTAGCTTCCCCATATAAAAATTTGATTTTCCATGTAATTTTATTACTTTCTCTCTCTATTTCCTTACAAACCCCATGTAAATTTATCTTTTCAATATACTTTTACTTTTTTTTATTTAATTCTCTTAATACCCGCATAATCATCCCAAATACGTTGTTCTTTCGGAGACGGAGGGAGTAGCTTTTTTTTTTTCTTACTTAAGTCGAAATTAAACTTGCAACACTAATTAGTACTATTACTTTAATTTGTATGTAAGAAAATAATCATGAAGAGCAATACTTAATGAATAGTACTTAGGGGCACAAAATTTAATATGGAGTATCATTTATTTTTAAATGTATTTTCTCTTGTTCTGTGATCTGATCTTTTTATTTTGACTAATCAACTACCGAGTATGAAGTAATTAAACAAAAATAAAAAAACTAATTAAATAAAAAAACATTTTTGCACTTTTGCCTCTACAATGATGACAAATCATGCACCAACGATGAACGATATGATCATTTAGAAATGCCAGTAGAACATTTAACTTCCTAGATTTGTATCAAGATCATATACCAGTAGTTTGTTTTTTTTTTTTTTTTTTCATGATTACCAAATATTTTCATTTTATTTGTAGAGAGAGTCACAAAAGGTGATATTATTGTAGACGAGACTAAATCTTAAATAGTTGTAGGGTCGTAATTATTTCGCGCAAGACCAATCAATTAAATTACGAGTAGTTGACAACACAAAAAAAAAGAAAAAAAGTAGCCAAATCTTAAACTGTCTCAGAGTTTCAAATAACAGTATCATAAAGCTTGTTTGCAGTGTACTAAATACTAATACGGAGTACTATATAACTGGTCTTTCCCTCTCCTATAGTCCTATATATGACTCCTATCTACTAGTCGTATGCTGTTTCAAGGTAAACGAGAGAGTCTACCTTTATTAGTCCCTACATTTTTTTCCAAACCCAATTCTTTCCTCAACCCCTCTCAAGGTTTTGACGACAATAAATGAAACCATGCTTGACAAATCAAACCATCGTATACTTTACGCTCGCCAAAAAACAAAAATATAAAAACCGCATTTAAAAAAAAAAACTACGAAGTAATAAATCTCTACTGTAGAATCACATATCATACAGAGTATTAAATTACTACCTTTAATGATTCACTCATTCACTTCTTTTCAAATGTAACATTATCCATAAACTAAATTATTTTACTTCAACCTTTTGACACCCCGGACTCTAAACTCTAAATTGTTTCTCTAAAAAAATCACATTATTTTCTTCTTAATGCATCATGCTCTATTTGTTTTCATGGAAAATAATTTTCATTTACACAATGTTCATGGAATTACTTTCATACAAGAAAATGGGAGAGAATTTGATAATGTTTTTTCAGACTTATTTTCAATTCAATTTAGTTTAACAAACGGGGGCAAAAAAAATGTAGCTTATCAAAATAGGTGAAGAAGGTAGAGAGAACAAAGATGTTAGGAATATGAAACGCTAACACGTATATCTTAATGAAAATAAAAAAATCTCCCCTATCAAAGCATCAAAGTATATAAAATACGCAATATGAAGTAATTTTATTTTTTTTTTAATTTTCTTAGAAAATATTTTCCGTTTAAACAGACAGAGCCTAAACAATAACAAGTGTATTGTACTGTATTAGCCAAAATAATTTTTTTTTATTTATTTTTATACACTTTGTATAATTGTAAAAAATTGATTAGGAATAGATTACTCCTATTGGTCTAACAATACCCTAGGGCCATGTGATAAAATATTAAAAAAATCATAGAACCCAATTTACCAAGTTCCCTCCACGCGTCAGTTGTCACCTACTGTTGGAATCGCACCAGGTTGATAATGCATCGAAACTCCCTTTTTATTTATTTTTTTATTTATTCTTTTCTCTCAATTTTATATTTTCCAACCAATCAGGACTCTCCATATTGCACCGATGTACTCAATATTCTCTTTTTTCCACAGCCTTTTTTAAAAAAAATTAATAAAAATAAATATAGTAACAAAACCCCTTTTTTTTGTTTTTATTTTTTTAAAAAATATGTTTTTTCTGGGTTATCTATTATTTTCTCAGATTACCAAAAGAAGAAAGAGATGAGGTTCTGGCCTTTCCTGGGCCTGCCCTCTTTTTTCTTTAATCTTTGTGTAATAAAAGAAAAATAAATAAATAAATATAAAATAAAGTAGTAGTAGAAGAAACAGGGAACAGTAGTGTCTTTGTTTCTTCATTATTCTCCCCACAATCCCACAAAAATTAAAAATTTGGGTTAGGGTTTTCATTTTTCCTTTCCTTTTCCCTCATTTTTAACCTTTACCGATACCGATCCGGTCTGTTGTAGTCGATCAAGTCGAATTTAATCGAATCGAGTTGAATTGAAGTCTCGAGATTGAGTAGTTAGCTAATTAAGATGGTGAGAGGAAAGACTCAAATGAAGAGGATAGAGAATGATTCAAGTAGACAAGTGACCTTCTCAAAGAGAAGAAATGGTTTGCTGAAAAAAGCTTTTGAGCTTTCTGTTCTTTGTGAAGCTGAAGTTGCACTTATTATTTTCTCTCCTACTGGTAAACTCTACGAGTTTGCTAGCTCAAGGTGCGTTTTATTCATCTAATTTTCTACCCCTTTTTTTTTTTATCTTTCAATTTATTCCATCAATAATCGTCGATTTCTTAAAGTTGTAGGACTTTCATTCCAGATTAATTGCAACATACACATGCTTCATGCGATATTTTGCAAGGAAGTTTTTTTTAATTAACTTTCAATTTATTCCTTCATTAGTCGCCGTTTTCTCATATTCACACAATTTGATCTGTTTTAGATTAATTGCAACATACACTTTCCTCATGCGGCGTAATCTATAAGGATTTTTTTACTAGTAACTTTTGTTTTGAAATCAATGTTAAAAAAATTAATTAAACTAAAAAAAAAAAAAAACAAAGAATCATAAAAATTTTCTTGGAGATCGCATTGATCTTTAAGTTAAGAGTGAGTTTAATAATTCATGCATCACCAATCACCATCTCCCCAAAAAAATTGTAAAAATATAATTAAAAAAATTATAATTGATGGAAGAATCTTTGGTGATCTAATGAAGGTGGTCCTTTATGGTATATTGTTGAAATATACAGTATTACCACAGTTAGTAATCAAATACAATTACAGATACAGTGGGACATTATTATCAGATAGTATAGTACTAACTATATATGTCATCTTCTTTTATTTTTGTATTTTTCTTTTTTTGGAGATGTGGGAAATGATGTAATATTAATTTTTTTCTTCTTGTATATGTGTCAGTAAATAAATATATTGTGTTAATTATGACTTTAAGTTTTTGGTGAAAAATGGTTATGCTTTATATTTTTGCTTATGTGGCTCAATTCATTTTAGGCAATGTACTTGTATGTTATTCCATGTTGCAATTAAGTGGCTAATTTGGTGTTCATTAATGAAAACTTTGCATTAGTCGCGCTTGCTATTTATTGAAACAAATGTATTAATTGGAAATGTAATGTCAATTCTAAAGCTGTTTTTTGTACTTTCTATTTTGGGATGTGTTTATTAAGTCTAATTAAGATAACCTTTAAACTAGTTTAAATGGAAAGGTTTCTTAGTCTTTGTTAAAAATGGTTTATATCATATGGGGGTGAACATCTATTTGTGGTTCTTGCTTTACAACACCGAAGTTAATGTAAGATCTATTTGTGGAAAATGTGAATTCATGTGATTTCTTATCTGTTCTTGCTTGTTGAAGTGCTTTACTTTTTAAAATGATGTTACTTCTTACGTATTTGCGTATTAACATATGTCTTATGAAACAAATTTTCGTTTATCAACATTCTAAATGTTGTATGTTTAAACATGTCTAAACTTACTACTTGTGGGAGTTTTCTCAAAATATGCTCTTTATATTAATATTACCCTCGTACTTGATACCATAAGACATTATATTTTGTCCAAGTCTTAAACAGTTAAACATGTAGCAATGTAAGAAGCAAATAAATTGTCCTTGCAAGAAAATATATCACTTTATATGTGAAGTAGACTGAAATTGAAAGGTTAGTGTATGATATTAAATATAATAAATTGTTACTATTATGCTATGTTTGACAGGCACTAGAATAATTACTTGTAATACTATGGTATTACTCTATATATATAACCTTGGAGGTAATATGACATTTTGATGTATAAGATGCTCATCTGTTGGGCATTGCCAATTTGACCTGTGAAATTGTCAAGTGTTTAAGTTGTTTTTTGCTAATTTCTTGAGTTGTTTGAGCATTTTGGGGTTATTCATTGGTGTGTATAAAGCATCATTCTGTTGGTTTAATCCTTTGATTATTTCATCTATATATCTATCTTCGAGCTTGTGAACTACTAGCCTGAGGGATGCTTTTAACTTAACCTTTATAGTGTGTTTATAGAGAAAGAGAAGGAGTGATGAATTCTATTGCTTCAATTGTCATTTGGATATAGAATGGTGAGGATTTGTAGGAAATTGAAACCATCCAATTTCCCTTCCTCGATCTCCTAGTAGTGGCAAGATTTGGGAATCGGGAGATAAATAAAATTAGTCACACTCGTATCTTCCCCTTCGATGTGGATGATCAACTGAATTATTTTGTTAAAATCTTGAGGGGTGGTACATACTCTAGACTTGAGATCAAATCCCGTCTATATCACCTGCCCTTGCAGCTATCTACACAACCAAAAAAGTAAAAAATATAAATCCTCCCTTTCATTTCATTCCTCCCCTCTTGTTCTCTTCTCCCTTTCCCTCAAACACTGTTATTTGGAAACCAAGCTTGTATAGGACTATAATTTGAGAAGCAGTCTTGTGAATTGTGAAACCAATAAACTAACAGTCATGAGAAGTTTGAGAACTACTTGTTAGTATCATCAGCTACCTCTTTATTTATGTTCAGCAAGTGTTGATCTTATATTGCCACTATGATAACATATAATAGCCAATTGTAACGTGTTCTTGGGTTGGAGGTGTTGCAGTGCAACTAGGACAATCGATCGGTACCAAAAACATATGAAGGAGCTGCGTGGAGTGAAGAGTAAAGTATCATCAGACAGCAATATGCTGGTAAGTATTTCTTTGTCCACGGTCCTATCCAAGAGCTCAAGATTTAGGTTATGTTGCACCACATTCTGAAAAAATAGTCTTAAGATCATTCTAGAAAAAGCAAATTAAACAAACAGTTCAAGATTAGGGTATGTTGCACCATAGTCCACATTCCGAAAAAGTACTGCCATTGCATTTCTTGAACATTGACATGAACAAGTCAAGATAAGTTGGTTTAAATCAGTACTAGAGTGTCACCTTGACATTTTAAATTAACAAGTTTTCTAATAGATGAGAACCTAAAACCATAATACTACCTCCGTTACAGGTTATGTGCAACGATTAGACATTTTCCCTCTCTGCTTTATGTCAAATCGTTGCACATAACCTGTAATGGAGGTAGTAAAAAATTTCTACTCGGAGTATGAATGTATTCACGAAACGTTCATTAAAATCTAAGCAAGATCACTAACCTACATTGTGCAGCAACTATGTGCTTGCATTCGCATTTAACAACTTACATAAAGCACATTTTTCATGCAGCAATTCAAGGAAGATGCTCATGAACTTGAGAAGAAGTTAAAGAGCCTTGAGATTTCTAAACGGTTTGCAATTCAACTAATTATTTTTATAATGTTTTAATGCTATAATTTGTATGCATGGACTAGCTCAATTTTTTTTTTTTTTTTTTTTTTGGATTTAGGAAGTTACTAGGAGATGGTCTTGAGGCTTGTTCCATTGATGAGCTTCAAGAGCTTGAGAAACAGCTGGATAAGAGTCTTTCCAATATCAGAGCAAAAAAGGTATATCATCATCTTAAAAATTTAAGTTTACGTGTTACTCCCTCCGTGCCTAATCAATTAACTGGATTCGACTCCATATCTATTTTAGGCTGTTTCAAAATTTAATGCCACTTTCTAAATTTAGTAAATTAAACTTAAAACTTTCCGATCCTTAATACCCTTAGTGACACATTAATATAAGATAGTTCTTATATTTATATGGCGGATCAGGAAAATATGTGTATTGTGAAGGTTGTTTATCGTGCCCCCTATTATTTAAATTTTTAGAAACAACTATAAGGACTAGAAAAATATTTGTACTTTTGGTTTAATCCCAAAGCCTGGCTTTATGGTAAATAAATAAAGTAATTGTCAATCTTGAGCTCAAGGATAAGTCTTTACTAGAGACATTTTGGTTGTGGGGATAACTTACTCTTCCTCACTCTCAAACTGTCTAGCCTGTTAAATTGATCTAGGTTGACTCGTGTGAAATTTTGGCTCGATAAAGTAGTCCTTTTTATCTTAAAAAAATATCCATATTTTAGGTTTTAACCAATTTACTGGTGTATGTATTTTTTCAGAATGCGTTGTTCAGAGAGAAGATTGACAAGTTGTATGATGAGGTAAGCTTTAAACTCAATATTTAAAGCAGCAGCAGCACATTTTGATTTCTACACATTCTACATCAATGTTCGTTTTGTGCTTTGAGGTTTTTCCAAGGGTTTTGGGACATGAATTAAGTCATTTATCTACTTTGAACGAACATATTATTAATGTCTATGTTTGGGTTACGTAGTTCTGTACTTAGATGTTAATTTACGCTTATTTTCTTCGTTCTATATTCTGTATCGCGTAGGAGAAGCTCTTGCTCAAAGAGAATGCCCGCCTAAAAGAGAAGGTAATTTCTTTCATTTCGCCAATCGTATCTAAACATTCTTTATAGAAATTGGCAATACTATATCCGTCTCTAACTTACAGGTCAATTTTTTTAAGGTCATAAATTAATAGTCCGTACAGTATATCATAATGTTCACTATAATTCTTTATCAAAAGGTATTACGAAAAACATAACGTTTAACTTTAACCAATAACTAAATTAAAAGTGACCCATTATAAAGACGTCCCAAAATATAGATATATGACCTAGCAATGGATTCAAAGGAGGTTCTATAATAGGGAGAATCCGGTATTTGTTCAGTAAAACCACGTGTTTTGAAACTAAACAAGTTGTTTTAGTTGCTATCGAATTTGGATTTCATTTTGGTATAATGGTATCAGAATCAGATATGCTTCCTAGCATTATGATTGTCGCTTTCTTAAACTGTACTAGCAAAACTTGTATTACAACAAATTTGTAATCAATTAAGTATTTGTATATAATTTTGATGTATATTTTGGTGAATGAATGTTTTACCTACCCAATATTTTTCAACGTTTCAGCTTCACTTATCTTCACCGGACTCGCAACGCAGCCGGCAAAATGAAGATGATCAGCAGAACAGCGCGCAAGATGTAGAGACCGAATTGTTTATAGGACTGCCGGAAAGCAGAAACATGAGACTGCTGCAGTAAAATCTTACTAACTAAAAGAAAATAAAAAACAAAGGTTTGGGTGTATGTTTATTGTGTAACCTTTCATTTACATGATCAGGTTTCTGAAGTTAGGTTGTGAACATTGGAGTCAAAATTCACTTCTACATTGTGGTTTGGCTGGTAAATAATGAATTTCAAGAGAAGTGTGTTATTATCTGCTATAGAGTTCAGTGAGATGAATATGTTGGTCTGTTGTAATGCTAATCATAGTACATTATTATTACTCCTTACTTTTCCTTTTTTTTTTTTTTTTTTTTTTTTTGTTGCGCCTTTGCTAGGAGAGTGATAAACTGATTATAGTATAAAGTCATTTTTGAGACTGCAACTATCGTTATAAGCTTTTGGTTGAGTTGGTCTATTGCTATAAACATCCGCTGGTTTATTTGACAATGAAATTGAGGGATAATTAGGTTATTTGTGAATCCTTTGAGTTGGTTGACACAAACACAATGCAAGCCAAGCCAAATCACATGCATCCATATGATGCCTACTTCGAGTAATACTACTCATGAAGAGATCAATTAGGATGAGCAAAATACTCATGAAATAACAATGCACACAATGGCGGATTTTGGGCCAAAAAGTTGGAGGGGCCAAGGTTCAACGACGTGGAAGCTACTCCAGAGCCTATGCAACAATTTAAGCCTCTACTTGCCCAAGTCATAGAGGAAGAGCTAGCATTTAGCTACTTTAATTTGTGTGCCTTATTGTGATCTAGTTGCACTTGGTCACGATCCACTTTGGTATCAAGACGATGACTAAAACATTTTCCCTTTCGTATAATAGTCTATGAACCAAGTTTGAAGAGTTGGTGAAGATTGAAATGGAATCAATAATTTGCGCTAAAAAGGCTCATTCCATGACATACAAACATTGAAACATACCAATGGTTTCGCTTGTGAGGTCGGGTAAGTCATTCCATGCCAGCAACCCCCTAAAACACCTACCCCAATATTTTTTGCGTCGTTCATAATAATTAAATGACATAGTACATCACTTAAAACAATATTTAAGAGCACTCACGACAGTGAGCAAAAATATGCTCATAAGTATTTTGGTGAGCAAAAAGCATAAAATACTTCATCCTATCAACGAGCATAAGTTAAAATACTCATACTATGAGCAAAATTTTACATGAATAGTACTAGCGGGCCAAGGCTGAAATTCATTAATCAAAATATTACTACCTCCGTTTCTTATTATGTGCAATAAAGGAATATTTTATATCTCACAAATAATACTCCTTTGTTGCACATAATAGGAAACGGAGGTAGTATTAAATATGAATATGATGATGTGTAAGAGAGAGAAATAATATTTTTGGGGGTATTGATAAAGGTAGGAGACAAAAAGATGAGCAAAATTATTTTGATCATTGGTGGGATAATAAATGACCAACAAATTAAAATGCCTATGAGGAAAATGAGATTGGAGGAGAGAGAAAGTGGGTAGAGAGAATGAAGAAACAAAAAAAAATGATTATTGTTGTGAGTGCTCTAAGCTTTACACATAATGCGGAGTATAATTGTATAAAACATACTCTTAAAAATATTTGTTAAGACCGTTTTAAAGTATATATATTTTCTGAATATCAATTTTTTTGGGAATTTTTTCATTTTGGTGCCTCAAAGTTTGAATTTATTTCATTTTAGTGCTCTATGTTTTCAGTAATTCCACTTCGGGCATGAACTTCTATATTCCAAATTAGATGACACAATACTTTAACTGGCTTTGTGGTTTATTGATAATAAGTAACATATTTATGTGAGATTTTGTTAGAATCCTCATAATTTTAAACAAATGAAGTAGTTTGTTCTACTATGGTACCTAGTGCTTTGGCAATTCCACTTTGGTGCGACCTTGAGTTTTATAATTTACTTTTCACTTTAGTGCTTTAAATTATATTACGTATATATAAATGCTCATTTTTGTAATAAACAATTAACAATATTTAAGATCAAAGAAGTTTATTTTTTGTTACAAAAATTAGCATTAATATATATAGTTAGGACACCAAAGTGTAAAATATTATTTAAATTCAAGATATCAAAATAGAATTATCAAGCGCACTATACTGAAGCAAAGTTTAAAATCTAAGGGTACCATAGTCGAATTATTGAAACTATAAGGTACCAAAGTGGAATTGTGTCAAACCTTAGGGCACCTAAATGGAATTTCTACCCTCAATGTATCTACGTAGTTTTTTTTTTTTTTTTTTTTTTTTTTTTTTTTTTTTTTTTTTTTTTTTTTGCCCTTGTCAATATTTTGGTCAAATAAACTTTAAATTTTAACCATAAATCTTGTTAATCCATAATATTTCATCCGTCTTATTAAACGCAACACATGACTTTTACACTATTTATATAAATATACTCCACTTTGATCTGATTAGCTTTATTATTATAGTCATTGCATGTGAGTTCTTGTTCGTCTAGATTTATAATTTATATTAATATCATTTTTTTAGTATCAACATATTAATAATAAAATATATTATTGATTGAAATGATGCATTGGTAAGCCTATAATGAGAAGTGTTGTGAGATCTTCTTGGATTCGCGTTATCGTATTTTGTTATTATTAAATGTATGAAAATGGAGATATATATGTACTAAGATACGTTTTTGTAGCAGTATGTGAAATCGTGCGTGAATTGAATAGTCAAATGAGATAAATAAATTTTGATGGAGTTCCTTTGTAAAAATTATCAATTATATATATAGTACTCCATTTGTCCCTGACCAAATGAAACTCCATTTCTAATATTTGGGTCAAACTTTGAAGATTTTGACCATAAATTCCCGTTAATCAAAGATTATATATTCATGTGATCTAAGATTTTGTTTAATTCATTACGTAGTCGTACATTTTATTAATATTAAGCTTTTTTTTTTATAATTTTTGCTCTTATGTATACGGCGATATAGACGTAATAAAACATGTCTGGAAGACCGTGAAAAGTCAAATGGGAAAAACATTTGGGGATAGAGGGAGTACAAATTATATTGTTGATTAGACTTCAATATGATATGAATTTACGTTAATTTTATTGCAAAACGATTAATTTGAGGATAATTTTAACAATTTTTATAGTAACTTTGATTCCTGTAATAATAAAGTTTGATTTGTAATGCGTTTGATTGTATATTAATGTGTAATTTCTAATGCATATATGATACGAAGGCTAATATGATTAATTTAAAATATTGTAAGTGTCTTTAATTGGTAAAATTTAATTTGAAAAAATAGTAACTTTTGTAGAAAATAAGGGTAACTTAAACACACAAACTATTGGGTGCTGTCCGCACCCAATATGTTTCGTGCAGCAGCGAAGGAAATGACGATGACAATGACAATGAAGACAATGATGATGATGACGACAACAATGGTGGATGAAGACAACAATAATAGTGGATGACGAAGACGATGACGATAAAGATGACGATCTGAACATGGCGGCAACAATGGTGGATTTGCGATTGAAACCCTAGATGTGAAGTAGCGGTTGGTATGGTGGGCATCGATGCTGGTGGCGGTTAGAAAGGTGTGTTGATTTGTGATTGAAAACCCTAGATTTGAAGCAGCGGCTGATACAATGGAGTTCGCTCCTGGTTTGCGTGGTTGGGCACTTCGTTTGGCTGCATGCGCGACTGACATTGACTACGACTATGTAGGGTGCTCATAGCAGGTCTGGTGTTTAGGGGAGGGGTGGTGGCTGGACGATACAAGCGGTGCACGTCCTAGGTAACGCCCGGCCTGCCGGCTGCGTGGCTAAGCAATTGAGGTGCTGTTGTTGGTTGGGCATTTGGGGGAACAACTGGTGGTTTGTGCGGTGGTTGTTGTTGCGTTGGGTTGGAGTTGAAGGAGTTATGTCTTCGTCGTGTGCAATTACTAGATATATAAATGGATCAAATTATGGAGATAATTAAGTTCGTACATTTAGGTCGTCGTTTTGCCATAGCCAGAGATACTAATGATCTTCGGACTAGTAAAATAGCCCAAAGCCCAATTGGACGGATCCTATAAGGTCACACAAAGGGGCTAGATCGAGCACTAGAGGACGAGACCCATAATGGGCCTCATCACTCTAGGTGGCAGGCCATATTGAGGACTAGAAGATGTTTTGGGCTTCGTAACCTAGTCTAATTATAATGAGATTATAAATAGACTAGGTGCCTAGGTTTGCAAGTAAGCAATTATCTGATCTATTGATCAAACCCTAATTAGCAAACACGAAACCCAACCCCTCTCAAAGTCCTCTCTCTCACGATTCTCTCCTCCTCCTCGGGGCCGGTGGTGTCGCGTGGTGGTGGTGGTTCGTGCGGTGGTCGGTTGTCCGTAAAGGCGGTGATCGCGATTTTTATCAATCACTCGACCAATCTAGTATTGGTGGACGGCTCGTTCGAATCTCGTGGACTAAGTAGAGGAGAAACGCTTGGGGCTCTATTCTCTCCCTGATTTGCATGTCGAATAGCTTCGTGGAATTCACGCATCAAAGGTATGATTATGTGTCTTGTGTGTTATGCATGTGATTTTGGGATTGGTACTTGATTGAATATGATTCATATTATTTCCGCTGCGTAGTACCTATAAACTCCTACAGGTGTTGGTGTTGGTGAATTGAATTGGGGAAATAAGGGAGATGTGCTTACATGAGTGGCGAGAAGAAAATGAAGTAAAAATGAGTGGTGAGTGGCGGTGAAAAGTAAGAAACTGATGACGCATATCATGAAAATTCTAATGTAGTCTTATGACTGAGATTATTTGTTTTTTGATTTATTTATAATTAGCTAGTAATTTTAATTAAAAAATCCTATATATATATATATTACAAATTATTAAAAAAAATAATTTGTGGAAGAAAAAATATATTTAAAATAATTAAAAAATATATTTTTTTAATAATATTACTAATTAAAAATAAATAAATAAACAAATAATCTTAGCCGTCCATTTTTAAAAATTGTGATAGTCAAAAGTCATAACACTACATTAGAATCATCTCTCACATCAGCCATTAAAATGAACATATCAACCAATAATTGATGTCTGATAGATATCAGTCAATTTAGGGACATTGGGATATATTAGACATCAATCAACACAAGGAACATATCAGTCAACAAAAGAGTTGTAACAGACAACAAACGGAACATATTATCAAACAAAAGATACATATCAACCAACATACGAAACATATCAGCCAACAAAAGTATGAAATCAGCAAACAAAAGCAACATGTATGCCAACAAAAGAAACACATCAACCAACATAATGAAACATATAAGCCAACAATTAAAATATACATAATATCCAACAAAATAAAAATATCAGCTAACCAAAGAAATA